TACATTGTAGCAAAGTGTCATTTCTTCAGTGTTGTCACATGAAAAGATATAATAAAATATTTACAAAAATATGAGGGGTGTACTCACTTCTGTGAGATACTGTGTATATATATATATATATATATATATATATAATATTTTTTTTATTTACCCTTAGAATGAATCATACCTTTAACGATGTGTGGACTTTGACTCTGTAACACATGTGGTGTTAGATAGGATTGTAGTCTGGTGTGTTTGACCTGTTATCTGACTGCGTATCAGGTTCTGTAAAATAGCTCAAGAGTGTGACAAGTAGCATCAAGAATGCTGTCAGAGTGGACCTACAATGAAATGCATGCATATACACACACTGTCTCTCTGATTTTTAAACATTGGCGAGCTGTTTCTGATTTACAGCCGTTTGTCCAGAGTTTGTAGATGTTTACATATCAGGGTATGGATGCCATATGCCCGGCAGAGATTTATGGACTCTCACTGTAATAAATACAGAGTTTCAGTATGATGAAATCCTGAGGTACTAGAATGAAGCATGCACACTTTGTTAAGTGGGAGATGGTATAGCTTAGTGATTAAAGGTCTGGGCCAGGTTGTAAGTTCAGGCCATAGTAGCAGGGTTATGATCCATTCACAATTAAAATGAGACTGCCTTCACATTCCAATTCAAATGAACTTTAATTTATGTAGCAAACAGGAGGCAATTTGAATCTAATAAACTTAATTTGCTTAAAGCTAACCTTCACATGTTTTTATTGCCTTAACATGACAGAACAAGGTAAGGACCAGAGAGTACTGAGACCCATTACTAGCTCTTTTTGGATCCAGAGAGCGTGAAACACTTGTCAGAAGAGCAACAGAGTCAAGCTGAAGTTAGCGGGTCTCCTTCACCTCCCTGGATTACAAACAGATTTATTCCAGCTTTTATAATGATGGTTGGAAAATATAGCCCGCCATTACAAGCAAAAATAAATAAACATTTTTGAACAAGATGCTGAAAATGTTAGCAACCAGCCTTCAATTCCTACTGTAATGAATACACTGTGTGACATTCAGCGTCATTTAAAAGCATGAATTTGCATACTGGAACTTTTGTACGTCAGTTTCCTGAAACAGACGCAGCTAGCAGCACAACTGAAGATGCAGATGCACCTGGAACAGCAGCACAAAGTCATAGTCAGTTATCTGCGATGCCTTTTGGCTCTGCAGCTGCTAGATTCAAAATACGCTCTGCTAAAACACTTACTACCAAGGACCTCAGGACGAAAAGCTTTTTTTTTGAGGGTGGAAAAGTTGAAGATTCAAGCCAGAAAAGTGATCCTAGTAAGGACCTCAACAAAGCTTGTACTTCTTCAGCTAGTGATACCCACACTAACACTGATGGCAAAGAGACAGGTAACACTTTAAGTAAGGATACAAGCAAGGACTCAACTCTTCCCATCAGTTCTGAGAAGGGTGATGCGAGTGCTAAGAAGTTAAACACTCAAGAATACAAGAGTAAGGCAGCAAGTGACAGGAGCAAAGGAGATGTGTTGAGGAGATCTTATCAGTCAAACAAAAGCAAAAACTTAGACTGGAGAGCAGGACATGGGAATAGAACTTGTATGACTAGTGGGACTAGAGACCTTGAAACTTTTATGAGGCGATCCGATTTAGAGAGAACCGGGATAAACAACAAGATAACTTCATACACGCAAGAGAATCAACCCAGTAGTGTTTCACGAAGGAGTCAGAATTACAATGCAGCCAATCAAGACAATCAGAACAGTGACAGAAAGGATTCCTCTGGATCTTCATCTGTGAGAATGAACCGAGTAAATTTTGCTCTGGAACAGGAAAACAGTGGTCAGTCACTCCCATCCAGATTGAAGCCAAGACTTAGCCAAGGTTCCACTGGAGAAGGTAGCAGTCTCTGGGTACAGCAACAAGGTGAATCAAGACTTGATCAGACAGAAAACAGAATGGGATCCCGGGCCAGAGAGCAAGTATCTTCCAATGCAGAGGAAATAACTGGAAATCAAACAATAATGGAAAGAATTGCAAAACTGTTTGGAGTAGATGCCAACTCTGATGCACACTCAAAAGATTCAATCAGATTAAAACGCAGCAATACTGTAAATTCTGATGAATCCTTTGCCAAATCTATGGACACGGTGGACTGTACTCCAAGACACAGAAAATACACTACTGACTATGTGTTTGGAGCTTCTTTAGATTGTACTGACAGCCAACAGGAGAAACCTTCTTACAATATAGAAAAAGCTGAAACATTCCCTAGAGGGTTTTCAAAAACATACTTTGATCCAAAGCAAGAACCCTCTACCAACAGGGAGAACAGAAATGATCAAAGGGACAATTCCTCTGGACTAAGTTTTTCAGTGTCATCAAAGCCTAAATGGAGTACAGAAATGTCCTCTGTCAAAAAAGCTCAGTCACTTCTGCCTGATGACAATGAAGAGACAAGCAGAACGTGGTTTACAGGGTCTCCAAAGTATTGTAGTCAGTCCTTAGAAAGGACCAGGAGTAGACTGTCAGCAACTGCTCAATGCAATGCTCGCAGGAACCAGCCTGACAGTTCAAGCATCTCCGGCCAGGGTGTCAAACACTTGTTAACCACTTCCGGAGGAATCAAGGAGGAAATTGGGGAAGACAAACACCCACTAGCCTCAAAAGGAGAAGCACACAATGAAATCCGTAAAGAGGAAGAGAAAGATCATGTCTTCATGGTTAAAACTGCAGGAAGGAGAGGAGATGGTGTTCTAGAAAAGTCGCGTTTACCATCCTCAGATTCTGTGAAGAATACAATCAGCATGTTTGAATCTTTGGCTCAACAAAGCAAAAGCACACCAGAGATTCTTCACACCAGGAGGACATTATCTGTACCAGAGCCCTCCAAGCCTGCAGCTCCATTGAAGAAGAGTGATTCGGAAAAAAATCTACATTTTGGAAGGGTTGTGGGGAACACAGAAAGCCTAAGAACAAATATCTTTAGCAAAAGCGATTCTAATGAGGAGACTGAAGGAACTGTTGACCTAAGTAGAACTCCTCATTCAAATCCCACAGTCAAAGTAAGACCCACATTAGAACAACATCAAGAGACATACAAAAAGAATCTTGAGCTTGCTCCAGCATTAAAACAAATGAATGAACCAAGAACTGACCAAGTTATCAGCGTGAGGGATGAAGATGAAAGGAGTTCTGTGAATAAAAAACACATGGATGAACCAGATTCTACCATCAATGCTCACTCAGGGCTCAGAAACATAGTGGCAGTGGAAGAAAAAGCAATAATCCCATCAATCTCTCAACAGTCAAATGTCAAAAGTTTACTAAAGCAAAAGTCAATTAATGTAAAAATAGTTGATGATGATGAAAACACACCAACTAACTCACCTGATAGAGCCCCTCTCACAGTTAACATTCAAAAGCAGAGTAGCCCTGGAGCCGTAACAGTCAATGGTAACCATCCCAAAGTGCTGCCCAATCATCCTCAAAGTTCTACTCATATCCAGACAATATATTCCTCACTCAATAACTCTAATAATAACAACTATGAAACAACAAGGAATGAGTTGACCCCAATGACTACTAGCATGGCTAGGTGGAGTTCTGATGAAGAAGACGATGATGAGGAAACAGACACTGAAGAAGACTCTGACTCAGGAGAGTCATCTGTGACCATCACAAGCAACATGAGCCAATCAGAACGGAAAAGTTTCTCTCTAAGGTAATTAATATGAAAAAAGTGGTATAATTGATTCAAATTGATATAAAAAAAGTTATTTAGATTCAAAAGGAGAGTCCACTTATTTCACATGCACAAACTACCAGGTTACCCAGTTTAAACTTTTTTTAATTTCTATATCCACTTTACATAACCACTATTCTCTTTCTACATGTTAACCTATTAGTTTTGTGGAACTATGTAATTATGGTGGAGTGGACTATAAACCATCAGATGGATGTTTGTCAGAGGATGATGAAGTTTCGCCATACACACGCTCCGCGTCCTTGAGCTCAGACATCTCAGCCTTCTCTTCTGTGACTCTGCTGAGCACTGATGAACTGGATCGCTTAATAGATGATGTCAGGGGCTTGGGAGATGACACCCTGCAGGTACAACAAGTGATGTACATATATTTTTTTAATGTCTAAAAGCCATAATTTGACAATGAAATACACTTAAAGTTGTATGCCATTTAAATTTTGTTATAAAATAAATATACAAAGACAATTATAGATTGATATGTGCATGTTAATTAAAGAAAAGACTATTTCCTTTCGCTATTATAACTTGTACGTCTGACTTATGACAGAAATATGAAGATGTGCAAGTGGTTGTGTTACACAAGGAAGTAGGGAGTGGCTTAGGATTTACCTTGGCAGGTGGAGTGGATCAGAATAAACCAGTCACAGTGAGTATCACTGAATGCTGTAATGCACAAACATGACTAATAGGAACAGATACAGATGGTCAAATGAGTCCATACAAAAAGCAGCAAATATATGAAAAAAGTCTCTGTTTATGTAGCTTTAAGTACACCACAAAATCCGTTCGTTTTTGGCTTTTTGAATGTTTGTTATTTGACTTTAACTTGAAAGGGGTGTTTCACTCAGATCTCATCTCTTAGGTCCACAGAATAATACCAGGTGGTGTAGCAGCACAGGAAGGCTCTATCTTTGAGGGTGCTCAGGTGCTGTCAATCAATGGCACTGCCCTGCAGAACACCGCCCACTGGGAGGCTCTGCGTACATTGAGAAAAGCGAGAGGGCAGGGCATGGCAGTAGTTGTTCTTCAGAGCGGTAACAGCAGAAAGGAAGCCACTGAAAGACCAGGAATCACAGGTGAGTGATGGACAGCTGAAAAAGAGGTCATGATCTGAAGGAAAACATTTTATTATACATATGCATGTGGTGGTCATAATGAATGTGAAAGCATCTGGAAATCAATCAACATTTAGGGAAGGTTTTAAGTTATTTGAAAATAATACCGATTAAGTTGCCTTACCTTGTATACATGTGAGATAAAAATGTGTGAAGAAAGCGGTCTCTTTTGCAATCTGATCTTGATACTTTGTGTGTGCATGCCCCCTACAGGCAGCAGAGTCCGTGTGATTCTGAACAAGTCCAGCTCTGATCTTGGCTTTAGTCTGGAAGGAGGGGTGGGATCCAGCTCGGGAGACAAACCCCTCACTGTACAAAAAATATTCCGTGGTAAGACCACTTTTTTTTTAAAAAAAAAAAAAGAAAAAAAAGCAATCCCACTCAAGTAGTCTGTGAAATGAAACATTTTCATATGATACCACCAATTACACAAGTAAGGTCAAACGGCTGCTTACCTCACACCTACTGGCACCCCTCCTGCACATTTTAGCACAAGAAGGCTATTCTTAGCTTGTGTTGAGTCTCATGCCAAGTCCCTCCATAACAATTAAGTCTACTTCTTGATTCCAGGTGGACCAGTCAATGAAGTGTTTCCTGGGGATGAGTTGTTGGAGGTGCAAGGTCAGAGTTTGGTGGGTATGATGCGTCTTGAGGCTTGGAGCCTCATAAAGAAACTGCCCCCTGGTCCAGTGGATGTCTTACTGCACCGTCCTCAGCAACCACGTTGAAGACCTCTACTTTCCTTCTTGCACCTCACTTCTCAAAGCAATTCAGTCATAATTTAAGCACTGATTTTTCTATAAGGATTTTTGCTGTTACAGGTTCTGTGAAATTGTATTTTTGCAAATGTTCAGTTCTGCAATTAGAAAGTATCATTCACCATAGTGTTTTGAAGTGTTTTTTTTTTCTCTCACTGATATTATATAACTATGAATTAATACTGCCAAAACGAAAAGCACTGGAGGCCAGGAGGTCATTTTTTCTATCACTTATTTTAAATAATGTTTAAGCTCTCACATTATTTAACTATTGATGTAATATTGTACTCTCAGTCTTTATCAGTAGCCATTACATATTTAAAAAAAAAAAAAAAATTATGCTACTATGTATATGTTGTCTGTACAGCACAAATCCGTCCCAATTAAACTTTTTTCATAATAAAGACAAAGGAAGCAACTACATTTCTTTCATATGTGATATTTATGATAATATTTACATAATTTTTGTCTGATTTTATTTTTTAAATAACCTTAACAGAATGTACAAAATTCAATTTGTTAGCACCCATTGCTAGTCCTGAGGTGAACAATGTATCCGTGCAAGTTAAACCACTGAAAAAATAGTTTGTCTTGATAATCTTTAATCAAAATCTGAACATTTGCTTCTGCTTTGGAATGGCATTCCTTCTCTGATGGCTTGGACAGAATATGCTTAACCACGCTCCTCCAACCAGTTAGTTTGCTGCAAGTGAGAGCTGAGAGGAGGATCGCAAAAGCAAAACCCCGCCCTCTATTCAATATTCCGTTTCAATTGAAAATACGTCACTATACTGAAATCAAGTCACGTGGTTCACGGGCTGATGAGGAAACGCCTCCCCGCTCATAACGTGCATTTGAAAAGCAACACACGTCGAACATCTTCCCAATAAAATAGATAATCATAACTTGTTTTTACTCCACAACATCAGTCGAATGTTTTAAATAACTTCCTTTTGATGCGGCTTCTTATCACAGAAACAGGCATAAAAATATCTGGCTATGTCGATTAGCATAATGGATTATAAACATATTTTGAAAATACCTGAGATGGTTTGAAGAATAAAGATAACCTCCGGTTACGAGTATGAATTAAATCCATCCTATTTTGGGTAAAAATAGGAAAATTTATATTTCTCTAAAAATAAATTAAGTAGACATATGATAATCCACGTGTAGAAGTGTAGGTGTTGTGTTTTTTTTTATTACATTTTACCAAATCGCATAAAACACTCGATGTGCCAAGCGGAATTGAACCGAAACTGGTTAAAAAACCGAGGTATTCATTGAACATTGGGCTGTTGCATTCCTAATGTCCATAAACGTTTAGTGTTTGGGGTCACTGGCTAATTCTGGACAAACTATTCAAGTCATTACCTCACAAGATGTAACAGATTTGCAGGTTACATGTCCATACTGAAAGATTTTAAAAACTACCAAATTCATTAATCTATAGAGGTTGACTCTCAAATAAGCAGATGTGTGGGTTAGTATCCACAACAACTATATAAAATATGTTCAAGTTTTTTTAGGTCAAACTTTAGTTTAACAACAACTTTTAAATATACCTGCGGAATTTACCTCGCGTATCAACGAAGGTGGCTGAATTGTTCATATTAAAGGGTTAGTTCTAGTGGTCGACCGATATATCGCCGAGGCATTTTTCAAATATCGGCATGGGCCGATAAGTTTTTAGGTTTAGCCGATGCGTTCGAGGCGGACTTTTATTTTGACGGCGCTGAGAGCGGCAGCGCCTGAGTGCACACCGCTCACATTCTCCCTCTTGTTCCATGTCCTAGTTTAAGATATGCATAAATATGTCAACTTAATATAATGTAAATAGTAAGTAACAATATTCTGTCTAATACGGATTTAATTCTGTCTAATAATCAGATAGAACTGTTAAACAAAGGAATTAAAATGTATACAAAAAAGTATTATAATGATTGCTTTTATATTATTAGTAATAGAAAGGCAAACATTATAATACTTTCTCGTTTGCTGTCAGCATTCAGCAAATACGCATTTATATCATTTAAACAAATCTTTGAATGACTAATGAACATCTAATTTCAAAAACCCTGCAAACTTAGTCGGACCCAGCTGTGAGATCTTGTGAAGTGTGCATTTGTATCCTGCATGATCCCGTGTTCTCTGCAGTGACGGTCGATCCGTGCGAATTGAATGCTGACAGGAGGAGAGTTCAGCATCACTGGAGACGCGCGATCGACAAACTTTAAACTCGTGATTTCAAATTATGCTGCGCTTCATGCTTTTTCCCAATGTCATATTCATGTCATTTTCAATGTGTGCTGTATGTAGAACGAGTGTTACCTTGGCTTTATTTGAAAAAATATGATTCCATGCACACAAACTTCCCAGAATACTGAGTGCCCTGTTAGTTACAGTGTTTACTTCCTTTTTAATTATATTTTTATTAAATATTTATTTATTTGTGAAAAATACTTTGTCATTTAAAGTATAAGTATGTTTATTTTACACATTTATTTTTTAATCAATTTTCAAATAATTTCAAATTTCTTAAATATTAATTAAAATAAATTCAATTATATCGACTTTATATCGGCCATCGGCCACCCTGCTTTCCAAGATATAGGCATCGGCTGTCAAAAAAACAATATCGGTCGACCACTAACTAGTTAGTTCGCCCAAAAATGAAAATTAGCCTGTGTTTTACTCGCCATCAAAGCATCCTAGGTGTGTGACTTTCTTCTTTTAGACGAATCCAATCGGTGTTATATTAAAAATTGTCCTGGCCCCTCCAAGCCTTTCAATGGGGGTAAGCAGGTGTTGGTTGTCAACAGTTCAGAAGACGTGAAATACAGTACGCGCATCCGTAATAAAACGTCCCTCACACGGCTCCGGGGGGTGAATAAAGGCCTCCTGTAGCGAATCCATGCATTTTTGTAAGATAAATATCCATATTTCA